AGGTAACGTGACATCTCACCCCTCCCTGCAGGAGTGGAGGACCTCTGCCTGGCTCCGCCCCCACACCACAGAAGAAGAAGGACAAGCTGCGCTACCAGTATGGGAACCACTGTCGTTACTATGGATACCAGGCTTCCTACAGCGACGGGCATGATGGGCGGGTCGGGGCAGAGGAGGACCCCCGGCTCCGCCTCCTAGAAGCTGATTGGTTCAGAGAAAAGACGGTGCTGGATGTCGGCTGTGGCGCCGGTCACATGACCCTGGCCATCAGCAGGAAGTTTGGACCCGCCCACATCCTGGGGGTGGAGCTAGATGGGCGGCTGGTCCACGCCGCCAGGCAGAACATCAGGCACTTCCTGTCACATGACCTGGTGGTGGAGGGGAGGGGGGAGCAGCCGATGGAGGCCCCTCCCCCCCTCCCTCTGTCCTTCAGGGTGAGTCGGGGACCTCTGTCGGCCCCGCCCCTCCTGCCTTCATCATCATCATCCTCTGGTTTCCCTGGCAACATCACCTTCATCCAGGTGAGTCCAAAAGCTCTGTCTTAGATGTTTGTCTGGTCTCCATGGTAACCACATCAGTGTGGCTCCTCCCACAGGGCGACTACGTGGCAGAGAAGGAGGCGTGGCCTGGGCGGGGCAAGTATGACGTCATCCTGTGTCTGGGCGTCACCAAGTGGGTGCAGCTGCAGTGGGGGGACAGGGGCGTGGCCAGGCTGTTCAGACGGGCCTATCAGAGCCTGTCGCCGGGCGGATTACTGATCCTGGAGCCGCAGCCCTGGAGCAGCTACATCCGCAGCAAGAGAGCCTCGGTAACTAACAGAACCAGAACCACATAGAACCAGAACCACACAGAACCAGAACCACATAGAACCAGAACCACACAGAACCAGAACCACACAAAGGACCAGAACCGCACACAGGAACAGAACCGCACCCAGAACCAGAACCACACACACAGGACCAGAACCAGCACCACACACAGGACCAGAACCACACAGAACCAGAACCACACACAGGACCAGAACCACACAGAACCAGAACCACACACACAGGACCAGAACCGCACACACAGGACCAGAACCGCACACAGAACCAGAACCACACAGAACCAGAACCACACACAGAACCAGAACCACACAGAACCAGAACCACACACACAGGACCAGAACCGCACACACAGGACCAGAACCGCACACACAGGACCAGAACGGCACACAGAGGACCAGAACGGCACACAGGACCAGAACCACACAGAACCAGGACCACACACAGGACCAGAACCACACAGAACCAGAACCAGAACCAGACTTAGCTGGGTCTCCTGTTAACCGATGGGTAAACCTGGGATGGAACCAGGAGGAGCAGCCTCTGATCTCCTGCTGGATGGAGAGACGTTCCTCCATCCCTGAGAGAAGGAGCAGTGGAGGCAGGAGGCACAGCAGCTCCTCCTCCTCTGCAGCAGGGGATCTCCTCTGGCTTTCACAGTGATCTGAAGGAACCAGAGGAGCAGCGTGGAGCTGCTGGCCTCCATGTGGATCTCAGGGATTGAAGGAGTTCCAGCTGGTAGCGATTGGCTATAGGGGAAATAAATCACTCCGTAATAAATGGACGGTAAATACATTTTAAAAAGACAATCTAAATCCCTCAGCCAATGGAAGCAAAGGAGCGCTCTGAAACCAACAGCATTAGCCAATCAGAAGGAGGGGGCGGGTCTTAGGAAAGTGTGTTCCTCCTCCTCTCATTGGATAGATTGTGGTCCAGTGCTGAAGGGAAAGCGCCATTAACGGCTCCATTCAACGGAGAGACCAGTTAAAGATAAATGAATGAAAGTTTGTGTTTGTAGAGAAGGACGATGGAGAGAACTAATAGATAAATGGTGCTGGTCATGGCGAGGAGACGGCGCCAGATGGCACGCCATGTAGCCTCTGGAGCAGGAAGTTAGATCAACCAGGCGCTTCCTTCCCGCTGCGCTCCAGGAACGCTTGTTTATGCATCCAGCAGTGAATAGGATCTACGCCAACCTGAGTTAGAACCTGGTCATCACGCAGCTGGTAGATATAGATTCTAGAACTCATCCACCAATCAGAGGGAGGAGCCTACTGAGACCACATGGTTCTGGTTCTGGTTCTGGTTCTGGTTGTGTTCAGCTGTAACCAGCAGCCTGTAATGGTCACTGCAGGCCTGGTCCAGATGTTCTGACCCACTGTTTTTGTTCCAGGAAACGACGCTGCGTAACTTCAGAACCCTGCGGATCCGACCAGAACATTTCACCTCCTTCCTCACCGACAGCGTGGGCTTCAGCTCCTACAGACTGCTGACGCACACAGGTACCATTGACCCGGACTCCATCAGAACCTGGACCGCTCCATCAGAACCATCTAACCTGACGGAGCGGTCCAGGGTCCGTATCTTAGACCAGAACCTGGATTCTAACAGAACTCCCTCTGATCCATTCCAGGTGACCACAGACCCATCTACCTGTTCCACAAAGGCTCCACCCACAGGAAGTGACATCATGGACCTGATTGGAGAGCAGAGCCTGGGCCGCAGACTGAACAGGAAGTGATGTCAGACTGAATACGGCGCGCCCAGTGGGACTGAACTCATGGAGAACATCAGAACCGGTTCTGTGACCCGGTCTGATCGGACAGGAAGTGACTGATCATTTCAAAATAAAAGCTTATCTGGTTTGTTATTTTTTTATAATAAAGTGAACTGAACGCTGCTCTGATTGGTCTGGTTCTGGTCCGTTAGTTTGGACAGGATGGAGGTTCTAAGGGGTTACAGAACCAGGATCAGGTTCTGGATCCATGAAGCAGATGTTCAGCAGCTGGAGAACATTTGGTCTCCATGAGACGCTCAGAGAGCAGCAACTGGAAGGAAACCATCTGAGAAGAAGAACTAAACCAGGGAGTCTGAGCCCCCTGCTGGTCCACAGTGCTGTCCACCCATGTCCCTGGGGAGGACAGAACCTGAAGGATGAGGAGGGGAGCTGCTGGAGGTTCTGATCTTCTGGTAACTGATTATCCCAACAGGAGGTTCTCCTAGAACCCAGCCCCCTGTGGGGTGGACTCTGGATGGGTCTCCTAGAGGTCTGGCTGCAGTGGTTTGGTTCCAGAGTCCGGTCCAAATAAATCCTCTAACTGTTCCGCTTGTTTCTCTTCATTTAAAGAATAAAAAATCATTTCAATAACAGCTCTATCTTTTTATCTTTAGTGTTCAGGAAGCAGGTTTCCTCCAGAACCATCCAGTCAGGGTTTCCTGTCTGCAGTGCCCCTCTGTGGCCAGAAGGTGGCAGCATTGTTAAGCTCTAGGGTTGTTATACAGTGCAGTGGCCAGCAGAGGGCTCCCTGCTGAGTATCAGAACTATCTGCTGAGGATGATTGAGGAACAGAGTCCAAGAAAAAGAACCAATCAGCTGAAAGGAGAAAGAACCAATCAGCAGGGTCAACATGTCCCCAAACATTCAGGGGT